GGAAAATGTGTAGACTTCTCCAAGACAGATTACTGGAGCCATAGACCTGAGGCTGCCGGAAGCTTAAGGGACCCTCCCTGGGTGGCCCTGAGTGGGACTCTCGGGAGAAGTGGAGAGGGGAAGCCTGGTGGGCTTCTTGGTGATCACCATCGAGCCCTGGAGACAAGCCCTGTGCGGGCAGTTGGCACCGTTGTACCCTGTGAGCCGCCAAAGTCCTGCTGCCCTTGTGGTCACCTCCCTTTCCTGATGTACAACGCCCCCAACCTCAGACAGTCAGAGACTTCTTCACATCACACAGCGAGTGGCAGCAGCCCTGCCCCTCCCAGAAGCATGTCCCAGGCGAGGGTCTACAGTGTGGAGAGAGAGAGTGCTGGCCGCATGTCCTCAGGCTTCCCAGGACCCCTAGCAGTGAGTGGACAGCCTCAGGCAGTGGGCCTCCTACCTCCAGAGTCTAACCAGGTTCATTTTGTTTCCTGGGTGACTGCCAGGCCAGGATGCTCAAGACTTCATTTTCAAATTTCCTGGAGTTCTTTGCAGTCATAAAGGTTATTTTCTAAGGCAAAAGATAATTATCACACAATACAGGAGGGCTCCTTCATAATGAATGCTGTCCTTGCGTTCCAGCTTCTGCCTCAGGACAGCCTCAGGAAAATGAGCCCCTGGTGACTGGAATTTACTTTAATTAAAAGCCTGACCTCCAGTGAGCCACCTTGCAATCCTGTATACCTCTTGCGCTTTGAATGAAGCCTTGTTTTCTTTGGCTTATGATCAAACATCTCTAAGTCCAGTCTGTCTGGAAAGGACATGGCTCTGGACCCCAGACAGAGCTGTCTATGGACCAAATTCCCCTGCCCATGGAGCCACGCTCCCCTCCCCGCCACTCATAGAGAAGCTAAACATTCAGTTAGCATACAAACTGGAAGAGATTTGTGGCCTTGGAATACCTCAGCCACCACAGTAGATTCAGGCTCCTGTGCTTCAGAAAGGGACCTCATCTTTTGCCCAGGCCACCAGCCTGAGGTTGCCAGGGACTGTAGAATTGCTTTTAAAGTTCGGGGTGGCTGTGTGCAAGTGCACTGAACCCACACCCAGCTTCAGGGCACAGGGCCATGTCAGGAGGCAGCTTTTCACCCGAATGGCTGTGACTTCCTGTCTCTCTAAATCTTGTGCCTTGTCCCAGATGGACCTGGGATGCCCACCCACAGCGTAGTACATTCTGTTGAATGAAATGACTTCTTTGCCATGAAGCTGGGACCCCATGTGCTGTCCCTTCAGAGCCTGGTCATTAGAGAATAGTTCATAAAATTATTTTGGGGAGCTGGAGAGATAGGAGGCGGTAAGTCAGGAGTTTCTGTATCCCAGATAAAAATCAAAGTGTTTTCAGATTTATGGGCAGAGGTGGAGACCACTGTGGCCACTTGAGACCTACCTTGGTTCTCATGCTCCAGGTTGTCTTAACATAGGAGTGTCCTGACCTGAGTTTCCAATGTCTGATGTGTGGTCACTTGCGTGTGACAGCAGCTGTCAGGGAAATCCTTTCCCCTAGCCTCATTGTCTGCATTTGACAGAACTCCAGGAACGGAAATGGAAAAAATCAGGGAACTCTGGAGAAGCTGGGGACCCAGGAAAGGAGAAAAGAAATTAAGATCAGAGGAGCCTGGTCCTAGAAGACAGATTGCCAGGCGGGGCCAGTGCCCACCTGCCCACCACACCCCCATGAGCTACTCTGCCTTCATGCAGTGATAGATTCCTTCCTCCCTCTCCCACTCCCTCTGCCAGAGAGTCCTACGCACTAACGAGCATCCTCTTTGGAAAATATGACTCAGTCTCTGAGTCTGAGGTTGTGAGCCATTTGCACTTTTATTTGAATTAGACCCAGCAGCTTCCATTCTTGCAGTGAGCTGCACTGAGGGAAAGCAGCGTGCCTAGCTCAGGCTTAGAGCCTACTTTAGGGGCAGTTGTTCAGCCCGTGATAACAGGGCTGGGGAAGGGAAACCGGGAAGTGGGGAAACCATTGCAAAAAAAGCAAAAGTAGAAAGTTGTCCAGTGCAGCTGTGTCCTCTGTGCCCGGGAGATGGAAAGGAAGGAAAAGCCTCCAGGTTTTTGGTCTCCACCCTTCCCGGCGCGTGGGCAATACCACTTCAGCCAATGTCAGGGTCTGAGTCTCGCTGTGAGTTTAGTCCCAGCTCCTTCCCACACCCTCTTCATCTGCTGCCTTCACAGAAAGAGTTCATCTCCAGGGCAATGAGGCTGGGACGTGGAAAGCTCTTTACTCTTAAAGAAGGGCTGGGTTGTATTCTTTAGTTAATTCTCATTCAGCCAGAAAACTAAAAGAGCAACAATACCCACTCCGAATTTCCGCAGTCACTTTAGACATAGAGTACTCAGCTCCGTAATGTTTTTAGACTCAGCAAAATAAATGCCTCATCCCCAGCATTCACCATCTTCAGGTTATTAAGTTAAACGAAGGTAATCTTAGTTCAAGCATTCGTATCTGTAATGCTTTTGCCTATGAGTCAGCTATGGATAAAAGATGGAACATTTTCCATGTGAAAGAATTTGAGCATACTTGAGTAATTCTGCAGAAATCCACCTGCTGGTCTAAGAAATAAGGGAGGAGGAATCCAGTTTGGTTGACCTCTGTCCAGCCACAGACCCTGGGTGGAGACCTCCCTAGGAGCAAAGCCCTTGTAGCAGGAAGATTCCACGTGGGGTCTAAGACCCCACGTGGACTGGACCTTGTAGGAGAACATAGTCTGATGTTTTCTTTCAGGTCAGTGGATTTAGTAAACTGATTTCCCAAGTGTCCACTTGGGAATGTCCCAGCATCCTTTCTTAGTACTGGGGGCTCTCTTGTGAATTCCAGGCATGGTCACAAGAGTCTTGAAGTGTGTAGAGCTGCTTATCTGCACATGGATGGTCCCAGACTTCTGTGACTTTTGGCCATTCTGCCTAGTTTTATTCTGTTTCTGTGTCCTCAGAGGCTGTCTCTGAAGGAGCCAGGGCTCCTGTTCAGCCCAGTATGGAAGGGAGGAGCCCTTAGCTGCCGTTAGGTCTTAACTCGGTCGAGTGCAATTCATCTTTTTTTCCATTTTAGGGACTTCTGGCTATCTTGGTCTATTCACGCTGCCATTTTAAATGTCACGGATTAGGTGACTTATAAAAAATACTTCCAGAAATTCTCAATCTGGAAGCTGGGATGCCCAGGATCAAGGTGCTGGCAGACTTGGTATCTGGTGACAGGCTGTTTGCTGGGCCCTAGACAGCTATCTTTGATGTGGCAGAGGGGTGCAGGGGTGCTCTCTGGGATCCCTTTCATAAGAATACTAATCCTATTCATGATGGCTCCACCCTTACAACTCAGTCCCCTCTGAAAGACTCACCTCCCAATACTGTCACTGTGGAGGTTAGCATTTCAACCTCTGAACTGGAGGGGGTCGTGACATTCAGGTCATAGCAGTAACTGGATTAGTTTTGTTTTGCTGCATAAAAATTTACAGTTTAAACATTGTTTATGCATATTGTTATACAGGTCAGAAATCAGCCTTCGTGTCCTCTCTAAGCTCATTCCTGTAATTTTCAGATTTCAGTTCCTTGCAGGACAGAAGCCCTCTGGGCTCCTCCTGGCTCTCCTCGGGCTCTTATCATCGTGGAGGACCTCCTTCTTGTCAGGAGGTCCCCATTATCTCCTTGACTTCCTTCTCTGCCATCCCCGGAGGAAGATTCTGCTCCTGAAGGTCCATGTGATGGACTCAGGCCCAAGGGATCGTTCACTGTCTTAAAGCCAATAGTGTTCTGGAACAAAACCTTGGCAAGGCATTCTCACCATACTCACACATCCTCCCCATAACCATAGGGGATGGAATTATACAAGGGCCAGACGTATTGGCGTCATCACAGAATTAAACCATTGGCCGCTCTGGCTTTTTGCAGGGAGCTCCATTCAGTCTTCCAACAAAGCTGGTCTCAGTTCTGCTCAAGCTTGGAAAACCTTAGCACTTAGAAAAATTATTATTTTTCTATTAAGTTCATGGAGCATTCAGCTTTCAATGCTATTGTGCTGTAGCTTGGCTAAGTGTCCCCCAAAGACCCATGTGTTAAAAGGCTTGATTCGGGGTCGTGGGGCTACCGGGAGGTAGTAGAGGCTTAGGAGGCAGGACTGATGGGGCGAGGCTGGCTTGGGGCCAGGCTCCTGAAGGCGATACTGCAACCTGGCCTGCCTGTCACTCTCTGTTGCTTCTGTCTGCACGAGGTGAGCAGCTCTACTCCCCTAAACATTCCCCTCAAGAAGCCACTGCATCACCATAGGTCCAATGACAACGAGACCAATCAATCATGCCATGTATCCTACAAAACTCTGAGCCAAAATAAACGTTTCCTGTTTAAAAACCAATTCATCTCAGATAGTTGTTACACCAACAGAAAGCTGACTACCATGGATTGCGTTCACTTTCCATCCCCCCGTCATGCCTAAATTTTTCCTTTTCTTGCGTTCAGGATTGACATGTATTTAAAAAGATTGTTATCAGATCGTAGCCAGTATATTTATAGGTTTAGACCATTCAGGGTTCTTTCCTCAGCAGCATGTCAACCATATTTTCTAGGTTTTTCTTATTACAGAAGTATGTAACAAGGTAATAGAGTCTACTAAAGAAAAGTGGGCCATTGCAGTCCTTGTCAGTGAGGTATACAGTTATTGGATGAATAAATAATTATCATGAAAACTTACCAATGTGATCAGATCTGGGGAACAGTTTCTCCTTTTACAGGAGCTTTGCTTTCTGTATCACCAGGAAGCTAAAATGTCTGAAAATTTGGGACAACAAATTGTTAGATCCTTCTGAGTCTTTTCTGATAAAACCAGTCTCCTTAACTGGTTTCCCTTGTCCAAATGCTTGTTATTTTCAAATAACTCACTGCCACTAAAAGCATAGTTACTTAATTTCCAGTTCAGAACTGTGAGCAGTTTTCAAAATTGTTACCATCATGCTTTTCTTCAGATGTGGCTGAGAAGTATTTTCAAGAGAGCATGGCTCACCTTAAGGATTCCGAAGGGGCAGGAAGAGCCAAATTTCTTGCAATTCAAGATGAATTTTGCCATTTTCTACAAATCACCGGACAAAAAGAGGTGCGTGAATTCAGAATGCAATTGTGTATTTATTCACACAGGTGATAGGTGATATTCAAAGGGCCCCTCCTTCACTCCGTACCATCTGTTAAAGGACCTACTATGTGCATGTACTAGCCACAGGAGGGATTCTGGTGTGCAAGCTGGGGGGCACCCTTGGACTTGCTGCTGGAAACTGGAAAAGTGTTTGTGAGACTATATATATAGATGATGTATCTACCTACAAAAGATCCTAAAGACCTAGAAACCTTGAGAAACCAGTGGACAAACTGCTTACCACAGCCTGCAGCTCTGGTTGGGACAGAATGTGACAGGATATCAGGGTATCTAATTCCTCTCCCTCCTTCTGGGTAATGAGTGAATTTGCATAGTTAATGGGAAGGACACAGTGCAGAGATTTCAGCCCACTCTCTTGCCGTTGATGCATACAGGCTTTACATGGCTTATAAAAGAAGGATCGAGACCCAGAATTTATATTCACTGGTAATTAAACCCATGGGAATTTACTGCCTAAAAAGCCTAACAGCTTCCAGAAAGCTACTGAAGAGTTCCTCTACTTATTTTTTTATTTTTCCCCTGTCCTTTAGGGCAAATCTTGGGGATGAACATTTATTTTCCCCTTGCTTTCCATAGCTGTCTACCCACACAGCTTTTTGGTCATCCTTGACCTTCCCTAGTCCTCTCTCAGGTAACAAACATGGGCATGTAGTGTACACCCATATTTCTCAGGCCAAAGAAAGGCTATGGTCACCATAACAAATGAAGTTTCAATATTTTTCTGGATCATACAACCAAAGGAGAGAGGGTCCTTCTGGGGACCTCTGATTTCCACCACAATCCCATCTCCGGAAGTCCTGTGGGGAGTGTCAGGCCAGAAGAATGGGGCCTCAGCCCATGCGGCTCCTCGGTTGTTTCCAGGCATACCTTAAATCCATCCATCATTTTCTGTCTGCTACCCCAGCAGGCATCATCTTTTGCCTAAACTGCTCTAGCAGCTCCTGTCTCCCAGCTGCCTGCTCCATGTTTGCCCTTTTCTAATTTGTTGTGAATATGGAAGCCATGGTGATCTTTTCAAAAAGTAAATCTGACTAGTGGACATTTATTGGTAAAACATCCCAATGAGCCCTCAGTTTCCCTGAGATAAATCACAATCCCTGCATTGCCCCAAACACCTTCCCCATCTGGGTTCTGCTGATAGACACCTCTCCTGGTCTTCACTAATTCCCACTTCTGGCCAGGGTCCACTTCCATTGCTCTTGCAAAGACCTTACTCCCTCTGTCCAAGCTGACGCCAAGCCGTCCTTCTGTACTAGCCAGCTTCCTGGATTCTTCTTCCTGGACTCCCCCCATGAGTCTTCCTCACAGAGGCCTGTTTGATGCAGGAAAATATCTGTAAATATGTATGTGTGCAGGTCCCACATGACTACACTGAGTTTAGTGGCAGTGGGGTGTCCTCGGAGCAGTTGGGGGTGACGAGCAGATGGCAGACGTGTGTTCAGCTTCAGGCCGGCTGAATCCTCTGACCACTCCAGGCCACGTGCCCTTCCCTGTTCTTGTTTGCACTCCTGCTGGGGTGCATGCTTCCGAGGCAGCCGGTGTCCTGTGTCACTGATGGTGTGCCATGCCACTCTTGCCCAGGTCACGCACATCAGTGGTGTTGATCAAAAGATGTGTCTTGCCCTCCCAGGCTGCCCTGGGCCATTTTTACAGATTGGCTATTTTCATTCTAGGGCCAATGCCAGCCCATCCAGTGGCCTACAACAATAGAAACTATGCCCCTTCTGCAGGTGGTCACGGCCCACTGTAGTGTACATTGAAGAGTGCAGTGCAGGCTGGGCGTCAGCCTCTTCCATCCTGTGTGTGCGGAGCCTGAGTGGCAGCACTGTGCCACGCAGTGTGACCACCAAACCTCTCACTGTGGGGTGTAGTGGGAGTTGGCCACCATGAGCTTGGTCTAAGGACAGTCTCAGAGATGAGCCAGGGGCTGCCCTTAGACAACTCCAGTGTGACTGCATCCCACACATGGTCACGAAACTGCCGCCAACAGGAAGGTGATCTTTGGAGAACAACTTAATGTCAAGAAATACTGTTTTCCAACCAACTCATTTTTCTAAATTCAAAGTTGATTTAAATAGGTTGGATTAAATCAAAGAAAATGTCCCATCATGTTGGAATGCTTACATTTTTTTCCTAAGCTATTTTCTATGAGAATGGACATCTTGGGAGTGTGCTCTGGATATCCCGTTGGGTGTTCACGTATGTAAGAGGATCAAGGCTCACACACACACACACACAGAAGAGTATAGACCTAGCAAGTATTGAAATTGCTGGCTGGGGGTAGGCCCTCACTCTGCCTCCCGTCATCCATGAGCTGCCCAGCTCTGAGCAAATTTCTGAATTGCTACTATGTGCCTCAGTTTCCCCCTTTGTCAAATGAGGATTAAAATTGTACCCACCTAAAGAAGGTGGGGATTAAATGTGATCAGACAAAACCATAGTTTCTAATACGTAAAGACACCTTACCTGTTAGCTGTTACTCTTAATGTCCAACCGAAATGATTCCGATAATAGCAGAAGCAGGGTTTTTCTGTTTTGTTTGGTGTGGTTTGATTCGGCTGATCTGTATGGTACTGGGACCTCCACATTGAGCTACATCCTCAGTCCTTTTATGTTACATTTTTTATTTTGGGATGGTGTCTTGCCAAGTCACTGAGTAGCCCGTGCTGGGCTCAAACTTTCCGTCCCCGTGCCTCAGCCTCCCAGAGTGCTGGGATTATAGGTGTGTGGCACCGTGCCCAGCTCAGAAGCAGGTTTTCTCACCAGAGTTCTCAAAGCATTCTCTTTTCCCCCAACCTGTGTCTACTATTGAGCCAGACGGAAGTAGCCCCCACAAGGGACCACCAAGCCCACTCCTCTGATAAGTAAAAACACATAGCAGTTAACTAATTGCCTTAGGTGACGCAGGTGTTTGATCAGGCTTTGAACTTTGTTCTTTTTCAGTTTTTCAAGCGAGGGTTTCACTATATAGTTCAGGCTGGTCTTGAACTCACTAAGCAGCCCAGGCTGGCCTGGAACTCACAGTGCTCCTCCTGCTTCAGCCTCCCCAGTGCCACCGTGCCAGCTGGACTTGCTAACCAGAGAGTTCTCTGTCTCTTTCCTAGAGAGCATCCTTGATCCTAAAGGAGTCCCTGGAAGCCAAAGTGGAAGCATTTGGCTATTTCAGTCCTGAGGTGGCGGAGACTTACAGGCTCCTGGGCGGGGCAGACCTGGCGCAGGGGAACCAGAGCGAGGCCCACAAGAACCTAAAGAAGGTAAAAGCAGGAGCCAGTACTAACCCAAGACGAGGCTCTCCCTCCACTGCGCTCCTTTTAAATGAAACTTTGTAAGTGGCTTGTGTAGGTAAGATAGCACCACATTCACAATAAGCTAAACCAACACCTTTGAGATGAAAGGTTTTCTCTTAGAGGCATATTTTTTTAAAACAGGAAAATTACTATTACTATTTTTTTTTTTTATCGGTACCGGGGATTGAACTCACGACCACACACTTGCAAGGCAGGTGCTTATGCCGCTGAGCTAAATCTCCAGCCCCTAAATTACTATTTTTGACCATGCAAAATATTTGCATTTTTACATGGTGTCATGATCAAGCCTTCATTTTTATTGTGCTTCTCCTGTATACTAAACTTATAGAGAAATTCTCTGTCTCTCTGTCTCTCTCTCTCTCTGTCTGTCTCTGTCTGTCTGTCTGTCTGTCTCTCTCTCTCTCTCTCTCTCTCTCTCTGTCTGTCTGTCTCTGTCTCTCTCTTTCTCTTTTTCAAATTTGGAGTTTATTTGTGTAGGTAGCATGAGACATGGATCTAATGTTGTCTTTGTTTCCAAATAGATCTCTCCAATGTCTAGCACCATTTCATTAAAGATCCCGTCTATGTCCTATGTGCTTGACTATTTCTGGAGTTCTGTTCTATTTTAATAAACTCTGTCTGTTCATTTGCCAGCATCTCACAATTTTAGTGACTGAGATTTGGTAGCGTGATTTAATGTGAGGGAGGGCTGGATACCCCTCTCTCTCATGGGTTTTCCTTCCCCTAAAATATAAGGTTTCCAGAGATTTACTTTACTACATGCTCTATACCAGCTTGTCTAGCTCCATAATGAAGTTGCTTGTGTTTTTATTAAATTATTTATAAACACATTTTGGAAGATCTGGCATCTTTCCGACCCTGAGTTATCCTACCCAAGAACCAGGGATCTCTTTCCATTCATTCGTGTCTACTTTTCTATGTTTCAGGCTCTTAGAAGTGCTCCTGCTATAGGTTTTGCACATTTCCTATTAAGAATATATCTAAGCATTTTCATTATCACTAGTGTAAATGGGTATTTATTCACTCTTACATCGCTTGATTTATTTCCATGTATATAGAAACTATTGATTTCTCTGTTAATTTCATAGCATGCTAGCTTGCTGAATTCTTTTATTGCTTGGGTTAATTTATGAATTGATTCGCTCAGATTTTCAAGGTATACTATTATATCATTCTGAATAGAAATTTGGCATTGTGTTGTCTAATTCTGTGCCTCTGATTGATTTTTCTTGTCTAATTGCATTGGCTCGTACCTCTTGTGCAGTAGTGAATAGTGGCAGGGACAATAGCCATCCTTAGTTTGTTTCTCCTCTTAGTGAATATGCCTCACAGAGTCTTCTTTTAGTGTATACTGGCTTTAAAACCAAAGCTTATAGATTTTATACCATGGTAAAGAAGTATCCATCAATTTCGAGTTTTACCAGTTTTTTTAAAATCAGAAATAAATGTTGAATGTTATCACAGGCTTTTTCAGCATCAATGGAGACCATTAGATGATTCTTAATGTGATATTTTGTTATAATATTGAGCCAACCTTGCACTGCTAGAATAAATCCCCCTTAGTCTTTTGAATTATTCTCCTTGCATGATGATGTCTAAGTCCATCTTGTGTTGCTATAACAAAACACCAGGAAAAAGGCATAAAGTAAAGTATAAGAAGAAAAGTATTTCTCACAGTCGCGGAGACTGGGAAGTCCAAGACCGGGAGCTGGCGGGTGGTGAGGGCCTTTGCTGTGTGATTCCAAGGCAGAAGGTAGACAGGAAAGAAAGGGGGCCAGTGCTCAGCCCTTTGTAGTGAGCCTTCTTGCACATGCTGAGCCCAGTAATCCACTTGTGAAGGCAGAGGCTCTGCCTCTCTCAGGCCCCATGTCTTCCACACTGTGGCAGTAAGTTTCCGACGCAAGCTGTTTAGGGGACACATTGAAACAACAGTAGACTTTGGTGTTGTTTGCTAATATTCGTATGTGAGACTTCTTCAGGCACCAAAGTTATATTTGCTTCAGAGAGGGAATTTGATGTTTACCTTTATTTTTCATACACCGAAGGAATTTATGTAGCATTGAAACCACCTGGTGTTTGAAGGTTTATATCACCTATTAAATTCTTTAGGCCTGGTGCTTTTTGTGGTAGGAAAGTCCTTTAAAAGTTTCTCTATTTATTCTATGAAGAGTGATCCTTTAAAGCGTTCTACCTCTAGTTAAGTCATTTTGGTAAGCTTACTTAACTAAGTAGCTATCCATTTCATTTATTTACATTTTCAGATTTATTTGCATAACGAGTTGCAAAGTAGTCTCATGAATTTTTTTAAATTTCCACTTTTTAATAGATGTTTCCCCATTTTATACTAGGGTTTTCTTCCTCCTCCCTTGACTGAATTATTTAGCAGTCTGTCTAGTTTGCTAAATTTTTTTTTCTAAAAACCATAAATCTATTGTCTTCCTATTCTCTATTTCCCTAATTTTAAAGCTTATCTTTATTGTTCTATCTTTGTTCCTTTGTTTTGTTTGCCTAAGTTTTTTTCCTATCTTTTGAATTGCGAATTTGTTTTCATTTTTATTTATCCATTTAAGGCTGTGAATTTTCCTCTTGTTATTGCTTTTAGTGCATCGTTTTGACATGTTTCCATTATATTAATTAATTTTAAAATGAGGGCCTCCCCATAATTTCTGAATAAGATAACTGTTAAAATCTAAAGAAATAACTTTAGCTCTGAATAGCTTATCCTAGAAAATAAGTTGTTTTTTTTTAATACTAAGGATCATGTGCAGGGTCCCTCTGCTACTGAGTTACACCTCTAAGCCTCTTTATTTTTATTTTCTATTTTGTTCTAAAACAGTGTCTTGGTAAGTTGCCCAAGTAGGACTTGAACCTGTGATCCTCTGCCTCGGCCTTCCTCCGTGCTGGGATTATGGGCTACGTTGCCGTACTTCTTCTTTTCTCCAAGATTTTTTTTTTTCTTGTGACTTTTCTAATCCTGCTGCAGAAGCCGCCAGTTTTGGTAACATTTGGGTTACCAGGATCTAACAAGATGGCGCATTGTCGGTTTGTCCACAGTTAGTGATTGGACACCGTCTGTGTACCAATCTCTGAGCTGGCCACACTCGGGAGTAAAGTTAGGGACCAAGACAGACGTGCTCCTTGTCTGTGTGAGTCCCTCATCCACCTAATGAGACATCTCTTAAACCAGCGATTTCCATATGGCAGCGGATACATTACAGGGAAGGGAAGGGGGAGGCAGGAAGCTGAGGGTGGTGGTTTTTCCGTCTCCCTGTCCCCATGTCCGTGTTACAATAGCGAATGTTTTGGAAACAACCCGCATTGTATTGAAAGACTTGCAAATGCCAACTTATTTAAACCCTATGGAGTTTAAATTAACTCAGGAGTTGGGCACCTCTGTTCCCAAGAAGGAAACTGAGGCTGAGAGGTCAGCAAGCCTCCTGGCCTTGATCACATCGGGAGCTGAGGGATGCACCAGGCAGTCAGCGCCATACTCTTCTCTCTGTACTCTTACCCGTTTCATCTCAGGAGCGTCAAGCTGGTGGCATCGTGGGGAGAATGCCAAGGGCAGCGTGGTCGGAGGTGTTGGGTCACCACTGACAGAACACAGCTGAAACCAGCTCAGGCTTCAGGGGGCATCCACAGGCTCGTGGTTGTCCGAGAAGGGCGGAGTAGCCAGATCCCAGCAGGCAGAGATGCAGTGAAGCCTCAGGAGGAACCAAGGGACAGCTTCTAATGCCAGGCGGGCTGTCTCCACCCAGGACTCCGCTGCACCTCGCTGACCTCCCCTGCACCGCAGCAGTGGCCTCCCCATGCTGGAGACCATGACTGCCATTACCCAAGGGTTCTACCCTGACCCCTGTCCCTGTTCTTTATCTCAGTCTGAAGGACTCAGGGGAGGACTGCTAGGCCTGGCTGGAATCTAGTGCCATCTCTGGATCAGTCAGCAAGGCCAGGAGAGTGAAGGCTGGGAGATCAGGGTGCTTCTACAGGGAGAAGCACAGGGTGGGGTCACTTTATTTTGGAGTGTGTGCAGTGAATCCAGCAGGAATGACATAGCCCCTTCCCCAAGAGCTCCCCCAGAGCATCCCAGACTACTAAGTGAGATGCTGTTGTATATCTTGGCTTACCAAGACTGGTAAGTGCAAGGAGTTACAAGTTGAGTGCTCTCAGGCATATTATATACAAAGTTCTGTGCGGCAAGGCCATACTGGGGTTTATGAGAAGGAAGCTTTTAGACTGGGCGAATTGGGAATTCTAGGATTAGAAGTGGGATGGAAGGGGAAGTTCCAAAATAAGAGAGGAAAACTTGTTTAAGGAACCAGGAGCAGTAGCAGCCTACTGTCTGCAGGGGCAGGGTGTGGGGCGAATGTGCCAGGAAACCTGAGCAGGGCCTCAAAGACCTTCACACGCTCCCTCCCGGCTCCTAGCGGGGCTGGGCTGGGACCTCACACCCCAACACAAGCTCAAGGCCAGGCTTGCTACTGCCAGGGACAACTTGTCCATCCGTTGTCCTCCATCAGTAGCCCTGCCCTTCAAGCCTTCATGGCCCATCCTATAGAGAGGGACCTGGGGTCCTGGATGTTGAGTCACTTATCTCTGGGCAGGTCTGAGCTGAACCTGCCTTAATGCCAGTGATTGGCCAAGTGCTTCTGAAGCAAGTTCACCTCCTGAATTAGTCTCAGGGGCAGGGGCTGCTCTGGCCAGCACCGCCACCCATAGAGTTGAAAATCAGTGCAACTTCAAGAAACTCTTGGGTTACATCACCCTTAAAACCCGCAATAGGAGCCAGCGACCTCATTACTGTCAGGCCTGAAAACAGACGGTGACATCTTAAGCTGGGTGGTCCTTGGCCTGAATCAGAGAGAAAAGGCTGAATCTGTGCGTGCGAATCGGGCTGTGCTCCTTTCTACTACCCCACAGTACCACACTCAGGGCAGGACAGACGGGGACTTTAAACATGCCTTTCTCATCTGCTGCTTACTGGAGTTTCTCAAACGCTGTATTCAGGGCTCTGTGA